CTTGCGATGGAAGAAGTTAGCTCTCCTTTGATAATAGTACTCTTTCTCCCGATGATTTCAGAACATAGAATCTGCTTTCGAAACCGGTGCATGTGTGGTTGATTCAAAATCGTAATGCAACATACAAATACCTAGTTCAGCAAATTTTCCTTAATCACAAATTGAATAGTGATTTAAATCTCTATCCAGAACTTCCCCACCTTCTGCCTGCTGGGGCCTGAGGGAAACCCCGTGTGCTGGGCCCTGAGGGATCAGACAGAAGAGACGCGGACGGGAGCCACCGTGCCTGTGTCCCAGGCCAGGGCCCCATATCCCATATCGTGTTTGCCTGCACTCGGGCTCTGGAGAAACTCGTCTTCCCCATATCATAGCATACAAACAGAGCCAACAAAATCACACAAAAAGCCAGTGATAATCTGCCTTTTATTCTCATGCCTTGGAGCTGGAACCAGTGGAAACATGCGTCTCTTTGAAGCAGCCCTGAACAGAAGATAGTGTTGGGGAGTCAGTCCTGTAGCAAGAGGAACGTAAGGGTGGAGGGAGGTAAAAAAATCAATCCCGTGGACACGGACAACAGTGTGGTGATTGCTGGGTTGGGGGCAGTACCTGGAGACTAAACGGTAACGGAAAACTATAATAAACACTGTATGTTGTTTAAAAATAAATGATGACCGTCATTAAAGGAGTTCATTTGATTTGGGCTCCGAGGAAGCAGCGTGAATGGTCAACAGGACTGACGCTGTCCCTGCTTGAAAGTCACTCGTGGGTTTGGCTTTGGGTCCAGCACCCCTGGCGTGTGTAGACATCGCTTGAGTGAACTCCAGCCTCTGTCTCGCCTACACTCCTGGATCTCAGGGATACTCTTTATCAGGCCGCACGCCACCGGACTGCTTCTCTTGGACGCATGTCACACAGGACAGGCCGCCAGTGGGCCTATTTTGCCAGTTTCTCAAGATGGTGTATTATGGGTGGTGTAACTTACTCCGTCTCTTTTCATTGCCATCCCTTTTCCTCATCTCAGTTATACTGAGATACTATTGACAAAGTTGTAAAATATAAAGTGTGCAATATGATAATTTGATGTGCACGTTCACGGGGAAAAGGGTCCCACAATTCAGTTAACATATCCATCACCTAACATACTTTATTCTTTTGTAAAAATGCTTATGACCTACATCATGGTTACTGTGACTACTGGATCGTATGTTCTCTGTGTTTCTTAGCAAATTTCAGCCCCGCAATACAGTATTATCAACGGCAGCCACCATGTTCTACCTCAAATCCTCGGAACTTATTCATCTTAGGACTGAACGTTAGTACACTTCAACAAAACTTTTATGTCCTCCACATCTCACCCTGGCAGCCACCATTCTCCTCGTGTGTTAATGAGTTTGACTTTTCTGTTTTTAGATTCCACATGTGAGTGATGCCACGGAGCATTTGTATTTCTCTGTGTGGCTTGTTTCGCTGGTTTACCAGTATCTTTTACTACATATGGCGGTTAAGGAAAATATTCATAATTGACAAAGAATACCTAGAACCCATTATTCTAGTAGTGCCATTTGTTTTTCTTTCTAGCAGCTTATTTATCCTTATTTAGGCTATGTCTGTGGGATGCAGGGCTAGAGAATGAAGTACCATGTTATACTACAATACAAAGACAATTGAACATCTTGATATTCAGAAACAATAGGCATGCGACACAAAAACTCTGCAATAGTTATTAGTCTATGGAGACAAAGTAGTTTAAATTTAAGGTAACTCAGGGAATTGTAAAATAAGGTAAGTTGTATATAATCTGTGAAATTTTGTTGCACACATTTGTATTCTGTGTACTAAATTAAACCAAGTTTTGCATATAACTTTTGCTAAGTGGACATGTTAAAACATTGGCATGTTATTGACTTGTTCCAAGTTGTAGCATGAACATGAATTAGACAAGACTACTCTGGGTAGAGAGGGCTCTTATCAATGGAGCTGTCTGTTGTGTGTGAGGAGGATATATTGTTAATAGCAGCGATTATTCTTATACCAATCTCAAGATATTTTCTACAATGTAATAACGGATATAATATGTTGAATATAACCTTCCAACTAACACTACACGGTATGCGTTAATGTTTTGTGCAGTTCCAGAAAATTAAAGCCTCAGAAATGTTCAGGGTGGTGACTTTACATTAAATCTTCTCTTGTAACACAGCCCACCATTCTAAAACTTCAGGAAGTAAGCAGAAAGGATTTTGCATTGCTGTCATATATAGGTTTAAACTGATAAACTTTTGTCTTCCTCACAAGGGAATTTGAGAATAGGATATTGCGTTAATTTATTAACATGTCCACAAGCGAAACAACAACAGAATTCTCACATCTTCCATGAACTGGTGGAACACAGGTATGCGTATCAGAGGAGATAGACACTGGGGATGTACAATGGTAGAGAAAAACACAGGATTCTCCAAGATGATGCATCCAGGAAAAAACAAGGTGACCTGAAACTCTGCTGGCCTAAGCTCTTCTATAAGACATTTGGATCATCATTACAACACTGAAAGTTTCTGAATACTGGGAACACAAAACAGCAGAGATGCCAGTGATAAATTTTACCCGTGGTTTATCTTATCTGAAAATGTCTTGAGAGGAGTTTTAAGATGGCAGCAGAGTGGGTGGATCTTTCTGGCACCTACTCACAGACCGAACTGGAAATAAAACTAAGGCGGGGAAAAAAAAACCCTGAATTACCCACGAAGGCCAGATGAAGGTTAAGACGTTTAACCAGGCTCTGGCAGAAGAGAATGCCACAAGGCTACACCTGTACAGCAGCTTGCATGCCGTGGCCGGGTTTGAGCCTCACAGCCAGCCTTGTCCCCATTGCTCACTGCCTTGTCCCCAACACTCCAGTTACAGGTGTCCTGCCTTTTCCCCATTGCCCTGTCCCACCCCACAGTCTATTCCCCCACCACTGTCTGTGCCCATGAGCCCCTTTCTTCCCCCTCCCCTCTTCTTCCTCTGTTATCCCCCCCGTCCTCTCTGGTCCCGGTGCGTTTGTTCTTTATTTCCAAGTCTCTGGTGCTAGTTTGCTCACTTGTTTTGTTGATTAGGTTCCACTTGGAAGTGAGATCATGTCTTTCTCCACCTGGCTTATTTCACTTGGCATAATGTTCTCCAGTTCCACTGATGCTGTTGCAAAGGGTAAGAGTTGCTATTTCTTTCTGCGGTGTAGTATTCTTTCATTGTGTAAATGTACCTCAGTTTTTCTTTAACCCACTCACTTACTGATGGACACTTAGGCGGTCTGCAGCACTTGGCCACTGTAAACAACGCCGCTATGAACATTGGGATGCATAGGTCCTTTTGGGTGGGTGTTCCAGGATTCTTAGGGGATCGTCCCTGCAGCGGGAGCGCTGGATTGAAAGGAGGCAAGCAAGTTACCAGAATCAGAGTTCAAAGTAATGATTTTGGGGATGCTCAATCACATGAAAATTAAGAATAACACATCAAGTAAAGAACACCCTGGAGGGAATAAACAGTTAGTCTGGATGAAGAAGTGGCTCCAATCAGCAATCTGGGAGACAAGGTGAACAAAACAATCAGAGCAACAAAAAGAAAAGATAATTTAAAGAAACAAGCATAGTTTAAGACAACCTCAGTACAACATGAAATGTAACAGTATCCGCATCATCAGGGTACCAGAAGGAAGAGAACGTGAAAAAGACATAGAGAACGTGATTGAAGAAATAATGACAAAAAATTTCCCTATCCTGGCGGAAAAAGGTACATAAGTTCAGGAAGCGCAGTGAGTCCAAAAGAAGTTGATTCCAAAGAGGAACACACCAAGACACGTCATAATTAAATTGCCCAAGATTAAAGATCAGGAGAGAATCTTAAAAGCAGCAAGAGAAGAGGAGAGAATTACCTACAAAAGAATTCCCATGAGGCTGTCAGCTGATTTCTCAGAAGAAACCTTAGAGGCAACAAGGGGCTGGAAAGAAGTATTCAAAGTCATCAAAGGCAAGGACCTACAACCTAGCTTACTCTAGCCAGCACAGCTATCATTTAGAATGCAAGGGCAGATAAAGTGCTTCCCAGATAAGGTCAAGTTAAAGGAGTTCGTCATCACCAAGCCATTTTCATATGTAATACTAAGGGGTCCAATCTAAGAAAAAGAAGATCCAAACTATGAAAAGTAAAATGACAACCAACACAACAATACAACTGAAACTAAAAAACAAAAACAAACGGAGCCAACAACGAAAACAGGAACAGAATCACAGAAATGGAGATCACATGGAGGGTTATCAGTGGGGAGATGGTAAGGGGAGAATGCGGGGAAAAGTACAGGGAGTAAGAGGCGTACCTGTTGGGTACAGAATAGACAGGCAGAAGTTAAGAACAGCATAGGAAATGGAGAAGCCAAAGAACTCACATGCACGACTCATGGACATGAACTAAAGTGGGAGGGGAGGGGAAAAAATGAGACAACTGTAACATCATAATCAATACAATATACTTAAAAATAAATAGAATAAGATATGTATTGAAAAAAGAAGTGCCCACACTGAGTCCTTGCTGGGACGCTTAGCTGCAGCCTGAGAATGGGCAGGGGAGAGGGCACAGCTTATGCTGGAAAAGAAGGATCCAGCAGCTTCAGTCATGCCACACAGGTGACTTGCCGTCGTGCATGTGTGTGAGAACATAGGTCAGGCTCTGCACACCAGCTCTCCCCCATCTCTTCCCTCCCGCTTGCTCTTACTGCGGGAACAGGAGGAGGGGAAGGGAAGGAAGAAGGTACTGTCTGTACACTGACTCTCCTTCCAGTATCCAGCGGTTGGTTTCACACGTGTTGCAGAGCCTGTGCGGGCAAAGAGCGGCCTGGCTAACAGGTTGGGGGTGGGCTCAGGTGGCCCACTGTCAGCCTCTGAACCTTGCGCAGTCAGCCCCTTTACCATGGAAACCTGAGAGGAAGGGATGGACTTTACAAGAGCTGACACTGGAAGTTTTTGCTTTGTGCAAGGTCCACCTTACAAGCCTCAGCTCAGCAGTTCCTGGAAGGGACATACTTCAATGCACTGTGTAACGCCCAATTGAACCACATGCATTAGAAAGGAAGTTCACCATTGAAAACTCCGCCATTGTTATCTGTTCCTGGGGACACCTGCAAAGATCGGTGTGGAGACAGCTCCCCAGGTAAGGACTCATGCCCCTCTTATCGCCCCCAAAAGATAACCATTGCTTTGTCACACCCTCTCCACTTCAGTGACACAGATCACAACATGCATGGTGTGCATGTTCAGTGTGGCCATATAGCTAAGTAAAAAACTAACTTCAACTTAAGAATCGAACATCTGGCACTGCTCTGTAACGGGCAGCTCGATAGGCGGTATGAGAGATCTCTTGCAGGTTTCTGATCTGAACTGATAAAGGCATGAGGAGAGGTCTGGGGGCTTTCTGGAAGCAGGTGGGTGAATGGAGCCTTCCTGCGCGGAGACACTGAAACACGACCGCATTCAATCCTTCTGGTTATACTACGTTGTTTGTTTGTTTGTTCAATGGCTTTTACTTGCATCATAAGTTACACAAAAAGAAAAATGTACTAATTGAACCTGTTTGGAGACGAAGGAAAGCTGACCCTTTTTTGCCTCAGGACATTTAACTTTAGGAAAAGTTCAAATACGCTCTAGTAAGGAGAAAAGCAAATATCCTCTCTTCGCCAACAAGATTCTGCGCTGTTTGCTTGAGCTCCCTGTACCTCTTTCCTCTGCTACCGTATTGTAAAGCAAATCTCAGACACGAGTACTACATATTTCAGTAGTCGTTGCTAACAAACTTAGAGTGCTCATGTGTCACGAAATGTCACTGTCCCCAAAACCAATATGAATGCATTTTTAAGTCTTTTCCCCCAAATAAAATGGGGATCGTTTTGTGAGGTTATTTCCGTGGCAGGCTGTCATGGCTGAGTGGTTCTCCTGTCACCGCCGACGAGTGATCTTCCATTTTAAGAGCTGTGACTCATTCTGAGTCAGGGCCTGGAGTGGACATGCCGTCCTGCACCCCTGGAATGCCACCCTGTAGCTCTGCGTAGCAGAGCAGAAACCTGCGTGTGTGGCCAGCGGTAGCTGTTTGCTGGAGTTTCCCTGTAAGATTGTGAGCTCCCAATCCTAATCAGAACATTTACCCTCAAAGGCAGTTCTGTACATTTCATTCCCAAATAATACCACACTATAGATGGGGGGGTGTTCTTAGTACATTAAAATGTAGTTTCAGAAAGGAGCTAACTTTTTTTGTGTGTTTATATTTATTTGTAGGGTCCTTTTAAATCATACCCTTTATTTATGTATTTATGTACTCATTGTTCATTTTATTCCACTTGTCCCAATTTTTCCCTTCTTCACCCCTGCACACAGCCCACGCCCACTCTACAGTCGACCTCCACCCCGCTGTCCCTGTCAGTGGGTCGTTCATACTTGTTCTCTAACGAGACCCTTTCCCTCTTTCCTCTCTTATCACCATCCCTCTCCCCTCTGGTCCCTGTCAGTCTGTTCCTTGTTTCCATGCCCCTGGTGATGTATTGCTTGCTTGTCCGTTTTCTTCATTAGATTCCTCTTACAGGTGAGAGAGTATGGTGTTTGTCTTCCCCCCTCCGGCTTATTTCACTGAGCATAATGCCCTCCAGCTCCATCCATCTGTCTCAAAAGGTAGGGGTTCCTTCTTTCTTTCTGCTGGGTACTATTCTATTGTGCACATGTACCACAGCTTTTTGATGTACTCATTTTCTGATGGGCACTTAGGCTGTTTCCAGCACTTGGCTACTGTAAATAATGCTGCCAAGAACACTGGGGTGCATGGGTTCTTTTGATTTGATGTTTCAGGATTCTTAAGCTACAATCCTAGAAGTGGAATCATTGGGTCAAAAGGAAGCTCCATTTTTAGTTTTTTGATGCAATTCCATACTGTATTCCATGGTGGCTGCACCAGTTTGCATTCCCACCAACAGTGCACTAGGGTTCCCTTTTCTCCACAACCTTGCCAGCACTTGTTGTCTGTTGATTTATAAATGATGGCCATTCTGACTGCTGTGAGGTTGTCTCTCACTGTGGTCTTCGTTTGCATCTCTCTGATGGCTTGTGATGCTGGGCATCCTTCCATGTGCCTACGGGCCCTCTGTAGGTCCTCCATGGAGAAGTGTCCATTGAGGTCCTTTGCCAATTTTTTAATTGAATTTGTTGTCTTCCTGGGGTGGAGTCATATGTGTTCGTTATATATTTTGGAGGTCGAACCCCTGTCGGAGGTATCATTGGCAAATATGTTTTCCCATACGGTTGGTTCCCTTTTCATTTTGCTGTTGTTTTCTTTGCCGTGCAGAAGGTTTTTAATTCGATGTAGTCTCATTTGTTTATCTTTTCCTTTATTTGCCTTGCCCTAGATGATGTATCAGTGAAAATACTGCTGCGTGGGATATCTGAAATTGTGCTGCCTATGTTATCCTCTGGGAAATTTATGGGGTCACAGCTTATGTTTAAGTCTTTTATCCTTTTTGAGTTCATTTTGGCGTATGGTGTAAGTTAGTGGTCTAGTTTCACCTTTTTTTTGCATGTACCATTCTGAATCTCCCAGCACCATTTACTGAAGGGGTTATTTTTCCTCCGTTTTATGCTTCTTTCCCCTTTGTTCAATATTAGTTGATCATAGAACCAAAGGTTTATGTTTGGGCTGTCTATTCTGTTTCATTGCTCTGCATGTCTGCTCTTATGCCAGTACTAGACTGTTTTGATTACAGTGGCCTTGTACTATAATTTGGTATCAGATATTGTGATCCCTCCTACTTTGTTCTTCTTTCTCAAGATTGGTGAGGCTATTCAAGGTCTTTTTTAGTTCCATATAAATTTTTGAAATATATGTCCTAGATCTGTAAAATATGTCATTGGTATTTTAATGAGGATTTCTGTGAATCTATTGATGACTTTGGGTAGTATGGACATTTTGATGATGTTGATTATTGCAGTCCATGAACACCGCATGTGCTTCCATTTGTTTGTATCTTCCTTAATTTCTTTCTTCAGTGTTGTGTAGTTTTCTGAGTACAGATCTTATACCTCCTTTGTTAAGAGTGTTCTTTTTTAAATTTATGTTCATCAGTATGGTCTATGATCTGTTCTCTGTTCTACATTTTCTCATTGCATTTGATCACTTCATGTTATGTACATGTATTTTGTTAATGTCTTAGGGTTGCATCAACCCAAGAGATCATATTTTACATTTTCGTCCCCTATTGATGGACATTGGGATTGTGTTCAGACCTTGTTAATGTTTGCGTGACTTCATCAAATTTTGTTTAGAGCTTGGTTCTTATTTTGATTGTTTTGTTTGGGTTGATTTTCTGCTTCTAGAGGGACTGAATCCAAAGTTCTGAAGTTCACTCTCAAGTACATTACCTGTGGCCCAATTCTGCCAGCTCGCAGTGAGTGTGTCAGAACCTCTTAGTTGTTTTCAGTCCACCCTGTTTATTGGGCACCATACCTGATTGCTAGTTTGCGTGTACATCTTTGAAGGGTGGTTCCAAACTGTACACTTTTCAGGAAATACAGTAATATTACACCCCACAAATTTGACATCAAACTCTATATTGTATCTTATACTCATTGAAATTACTTGTGAGTTGCCTCTAGATACCTGATAAGATTAGCCTTCAGAAATGTTATATTTTTTCAAGTCCTAAGACCCTCAGATACAAGACAAAGGCACTTTTACCTGGTCTGGAATTTTCTGAGACATAACTTCACATAAAGTAGTTGAAAACCTTTTCCATGTCTGGCGTACTTCATGCACTCATCACAATACATATATGTCGATTGAATTAATAATTATTTAATCTATGTTTTGGAAGGAGTGACTAGACAGACAGCTGTATACAAGGAATTCATGCATTCATCTTCCATTTATTGAAGGCATGCTAAGTGCCAGATGTCAAATAAGTGTAATAGATAGGAAAATAAGTAAGATGAGCTTCCGGCCCCAGAGGAGTTCACAGGCTAGGAAAGGAAACTCTAGCTCAATGCCACAAGCTCTCTGATGGAGAGATGCACAAACACATTTGGGAGCACAGCAAAAGGAGGGGTCCCTAGAGATGATAGTCATTTAGCTAGACTTTGAAGAATGACTGGAAGTTGAATTGAGAAGAAAGGAATTTGGGAGTTCCACGCAAGGAACGACATGCAGATAGGCCAGCGGGGCTAAAGCAGACACTGTGTTGTAGAAATGTCTTGTGACCTCCTGTGGTGGGGAGTGGTGACAGAAGTGTCTAGGAAGGTAGACCAGAGCCAGATGGTAAAGAAAATGCCGTTCATTTTAACTAAGTGAATCTTAATACACTTAGCAGCCATGGTCAAGGTATACCGCGCGTTCATGTTCTGGCTAAATCTCTCTTCTTCTCAAATGTGAAAGAGATGCAAGGGGAAATTAAGTATCTGTTGCTTTCTTCAAATTGTTGACAAACATTTGGGACAAAAGCCAAGGAACACCCACATGGAAATACCAGGAATAACCATCCACCAGTTTACACATTGCCCAATGAGTTGCAGCAGCAGGATCCAAAAATACAGTGAAATCTTTGTCACCTAAATATGTTTCTCCATAGGAACAAACTAATATTTGTTCCATTTCTGCAAATCCAAACTGTCATGACCATCCTTATAAACCAGTCATCCTGAGGAGTTAAGCTGAAAAAGAGGAGGCCCCGAGTTCTGAGGTGACAGAGTGAGCAGAGAACAATTCACTCACAACCATGGCCTCAGGAGTAAACATTTACTTTTGTCAATAAGGTCTAGTCAAAGGTCAAGTGGAATGCCTGCCCACCCCAAAAAGCTGGATTTGTTGTCCGTCACCACAAGAGAGACAGCGCACTGGGGATAAATGAGGTGAATCTCACTAAGAGAGTGTCAGGAGGGACTGGACAGGTGATGGGGAAGTATTCAAGGGTGCATGGGTTGGCTCTGGCTTGGATACTCTCATGAAGCATTGCACTTCTATTTGGTAATTTTATCCATGAAGCAGGAAGGGAGGAGCACAGTTGAAGAGGTAATAGACACTTGTTACCTGGTGAGAGGAGCACTTCTGCCAGTAAGACTGCCTTCATGTTTTAGTTTGTGCTCAGACATGACTGTAAAATGGTCTTGTTTCTCTTTTATTCC